CAAAGAGTTTGGGTAAACACAAGACGATAAAGACATATCAAAAATGATTTTCTGATGTGTTTCTTAGCCTATGGTGACTGATTCCATCCTCACCCGAGGCCTTACCAAGCTTCAATATCTGTAAAATATCACACATTTCATTATTATTGACTCGAATGTACCTTTAAACTCTTGTCAGTTTTTGGCTCCAGTGTAAGTATGCTTCTGTAACAGGAAATAGAAAAATGCATGGCCAGACCAGGGTTCATACCCAGACCCCCCCAGCTCTAGACGGACATTCTACCAATTGAGCTACCTGTTTGTGGAAGATCGACCCAGTCCAGTTCTGTTACATTCCTCCCTCCTTTTTCTAATTCTTCCCCTATAAAGACAACTACATGTATTTACAACCCGTGCAGGTTCGGGTATCCCCCTGCCAAGCACACAAACAGATGCTTGAAACAGGGGTTGACCAGCTCACCAATTTTGTAATAGGAGAGGAAAAATGCACTGCCAGACCGAGGTTCAAACCCAGGACCTTCCAAACTCTAAACGGACGCTCTACCAATTGAGCCACCTGGTCGACCCAGTCCAGTTTCGCTATACTTCATTAGTGTTTCTCAGAAAAAAACAACAAGACAATCTGCTCACTGTATAAGATATGTAATCAAGTCATGATTTTGACAACAATTGCACTGAAGAAGAATATATATATGTTAATAAATATTGTTACAGATAACTGCTATTGAAATGATGAAATAATACCTAATGTATTAAACAAAATTAACATAAAAATTAGTAAGGCAAAACAGTTTTGATATAAAATAAATATGTACATATGTTTAAAAAAAAACAAAAGATGTAAACTTTTTAAGACATGTCTGTCAATACTAAACATTGTATAGAAATTCAGATTGTTTTTTGTTTTTGTATTTATTTATGTATTTTTTAATTTACAATTAAATTCACCCAGATGGAACATGATAATACAGGAATAGGTCAGAGATTTCTCAGGATTTTTTTATTCCAAATTTATTATGTTCATGAATGAATTTTATAACATTATGCATGACATATCTCAAACCACAGAGTACACAGGAGCCAGACACAACAGCATAACGGAGAATGGAAGGACAAGTTGCGCTTATCCACATTATACTTGTTCTATAAATAGTACATATGTATCAATAATGTACTTTTGATGAAGTGAATATGTGGTTATTCCGTCTTTGCGTATTGCAGAGTTATCTTCTCATATGAGCAGGTATTGATTGGTAGTCATTGGTTTGTGTGAGAAAATTACGTCGTTTTCTCAAAAATTGATGACGTTACTCTCACAAACAAATGACATAACAATCAATAGCTGCTCCCTAGAGAAGATAACTCTGCAATACGAAAAGACGGAATATGGACTTTTGATAAATTAAGAAAACAAAAATTTGCAAGTATGATGTCAATGCGGTCACATTAGTCGAGGGTCTAGTAGAAATATTGAATGTGTCATACAATGACCCCCCCCCCCCCCCCCCCCGACTTATTATGGTGTCACATTGGGTACATACATTAGAGCTACTTCAGGAATAACCTAGAAAAGTGTGCATTTTTGCAATATTATTCAAAAGTCTTGATCATTTTATAAAAAAAAATATCTTGAATTAATTTCTTTTTTATGCGGGATTCCTGAAACTGGTGACAATTGTTTTCACTTTAGCTTGTGATACATGTATAGGCTCACTAAAATGAAAACTCTTTGATTTGTTTAATAGATCTCAAACAAGTAGAAGCTTGAGTAAGCTCCTATATATATATGTAATCAAAACTTATGTTAAAATAAAAAATCCTTTAACTACAACCATCATAAGGACATTATTATTTTTTAATGAAATTTTAATTGTTCACTATTTATGACACTGAAAAGCTAATTGAAAGACTATGGAAATTCACATGAAAAGCTTCCTGACACAGATGGAAAGTTATATAGAGATTCTTTATTTGTGTTACTTATACATATAATTTTTACCACTATTGTATACATGTGATACGGGACTAAGATGTAAATGTTTCTACGATCACATGGACATTTTACAATGTTTACCACTATATATAGTAGTACTAATTACTTTACAAATAATACAAACATTATTTTCACATTTTTGTACATGTCCTTTGTGTAAAATATTTGCCTATTATGACTTTAAATTGGCAAGATCAATAAATGTTAATCTGTTTTTGCACAAATAGCTTTTGTGAAGGTATAGACAGCTTAAGAAGCAGAAGTCATAAAATTGACAGTTAAAGGAAACGGTACAAAACCGTAGTACAATGTACAAAAACAAGACCGAAAAATGCACTTTATGTGAAAATGATCTAGGCGAGGAATTTCATTATTTATTCAAATTTAGAGAAAAATATATTCCTTTGTATTATAGAAAAAATCCCTCTCAAATTAAAATGAGTGGTCTGTTGTCATTTTGTAACACGACAGTATTAAATGGAGTTTGTCTTTTGTTGGAAAAAATTAACAAACTGTTGTAATATGTATCATGATTACTGTTTTGTGAACTTGCCATCCATTTTGTCATCACATATGTATTATTATACTCTGATACCTCATTACATTGTAATGTATCTGAGGAAAAACAATAAACTTGAAACAAAACCGTAGTACAATGTAGCAGATTGATGACATCAACAATAATTATATGGAGAAATGAAACTGGTCTCCAGCTGAATTTTGGCAACATTTTACTCCTGGAAAGCCATCGCTGTCAAACCTCCTTCTATTTGACCAACATTTACCAATCACCCTCGAAACTCCCTCATTGAAGTCCAAACACACAAACAAAGTCAAAATCTACATCCTGTGGTCAAATGGTCCTAGTTACTGCAAGGTGTATGTAATGATCATAACAGGTGTGTCTGAATCGAATGAATACTTTTTGGAGTTATTTTGATGCATTAAAAGGGAAAGATAAATTAAGCAAAGCAGTTTCAGTCGTGTTTCATGCACTTTCTCACTCCCTCATTTGAGGTTTCAGAGGTTGACACTTATGAAAAGTATAAAGCATTAAAGATAATTCTCAAATATCAAACAAGTTCCAAACTTGATAAGCTTGTTTTATGATCTTCTACAGTGTTTAGATGTTTTATGGAAGCACAATTTCACAAACAGTAAGGGTTACTGTTTTATCTGTAAAAGTTACCTCCCTTCCTTGCAAGTACACACACTGTACTGTTTGAAATGGCTTAGTCGGATTTTTTTTTATAGAACTACATGTAAATTAAATGTGAACACAATCTTTAGGCATATCAAAAAAGTCTTCAGTTAACCTATCATAGATTTGAAAATATCAACATTTCAAGGTTATTAGAAAACCTGAATATTTTTTACATGTTCATAAGTGACAAAACCTCTTTACACTAATAGGAAGTTCCGGTTAAAAATGAAAGCAACTGATACTATTTGAAGAGGTGTCTGTCCTTCCTAGGTGGGGATTGGCTGTATAAATACAAACTTCAGGCGAACAAACTCTCAATTTCTTTGCTCATGCACCTGTATATCAAATAATAATATGTAGTTTTAAACAATATCTGTTTCTGTATAATTTAAAACATCTATAAAAAATATATACAAAACAACTCAACAATTTGTTCTTATATACCATAAATAAAAAGAGTTAAGGACAATGCTACCTTATACATGGTACAAGCGAGTTCTGTTAGTCATCTCCTGTATAAAGTTACCCAGTGTTAATTAAGTTTTATTATTCTGTGTTAATTTCAGAATGTCATCAATTCATTACCTTAGTTCAAATTTACTATTCATACAATATATTGAACATTTTTCTTAAAGTCAAACTTTTTTTAAAGACCTGTGTCCCTGTAAATAAGCATACATCCTTAAATCATTAACCCTCATCACCTGAATCTCCTGGACGGAATATATACAGTAAAAACCTACACACACACACACACACACAACCACTGATTCAAGATGGATGGAATATAGCAACAGCGTACTCATAACACTGACAATATTAACAGCAAAGGTTTTATATTGATATAAATATACTTGTATTATACAATCCAGCTTAAGTATAAAGTGTAATAATATATAGATACTGTGTATGTACATTCAATTTAACGTCACAAGGCACAACACAACAACATTACAAGCAACCTTGAAAGGATGAAAGGCAAAAATGGTGACATTTTTCACATGTTTTCTACCTAATATTAGTAAACAAATACTTTGTAACTTAAACTTGCTGAAACATGTTGACAATCATACATAACAAAAACTCTGATTAAGGTCAGATTTAGACAAATAACCCAGTATTTTACTACAATTTAAACTGTTACTTTTCACTGTAAAAATAAATTTAAGTTTCACCACGGAATTAGATTAGATCAAAATCCATGGTTTAACTATGGGTTAAGTCCATGCTCAGATTAAGCTCCTAAACCCTACCAAAGTCATAGGTATCATTTTTCCATTATATTACATGGATATACATGTATATATATATAAAAGAGGAGGTGATGAACATCAGCCTGTTCCCTGTAAGTCAGACTCCAGCAACCAAGGAACTGGGGAGACAACACTTACAAAAAACATCTCATAAATTATTGGAAATGCAAGTTTTGTACAATACTTATTTATAAAGTTCAAAATTTCTTAAATTCACAGATCAACTTTCTTGAATGAAACAGAACTGTTGTAAATTCATTTTCTAAAAACAATAAACATCAATACAAAACAAATCGCACACGTTGGGTATTTGTTCTAACAGCAAAACCAGCTTTTGATGAAACAAACACAGAAGAACTTTGTTAAAACCCTGAACATCCAACATATACCAGACACTTTCATTGATCAGTACAAACAATAATACCAAAATTTACAAAACAGTAAAAAGTTAATATCCCACATAATACAATTGGGAAGGAAATGGCTACAAAATAAATTACAAAATTACAGTAACATTAACTCATTCACCCCTGAAGACACATTTGAACTCATCCAGTTCAATGGTTGGAATAGTTCATTATGAAATTTCAGGGGTGAATGAGTTAAAACAATTAAATAAAAGCCCCACATTAGTTACACATATTTGGGATTCTATAGAAGTTAAACGTTATCTAATCATTGCATTCAATTTCAAGTCAACTTACGCTGTATGTGTCAAGTAAGCTACAAACATACTATCTAGTGAATGACATTTCAAGAGTGACAACTATTGTAGTGTATTATACTTGAATTCTCAATAAAAATACTTTACAGAGAGGTTTTTAATATCAAGTTTACTCTCCTCTTAATAAATGTCTACCACAAAGTGACTCTGAGAACATAACAAAATAAATAGCAACAGTAGCTTGGACGTAGAGTGACCATGACCATTTATTATCTCCTAACATCTATTTACAGATACATATGTATTACCAAAATAGGCACCCCTACTTCATCAATTACCACTTTGTATTTTTTCTGTGTAAGAAACCTTTTTATTAAAGAACGGTGCTAACTTACTGATGACACTTTATTTGTTACTTTAAGAATTGCCTGATAACAAAATCAACACAATTATATATACATAAATGTTGTATACAACATCATAAAGCACAGCCAGTGATGTGATTGTGTGTGAAGTTTTGATGACTGGTATGATATGTACACTGTCACCCTCATCAGTCAAATGAACAGTTGATTGATTGATTGATTGATTGATTGATAGGTTTTACGTCCGCTTCACTCCCGAGTAGTTCAGACCAGTGAAGGCCCTTTTTACCGAGTAGTTCAGACCAGTGAAGGCCCGCAGTTTTTGTATTGTATATAGTTAATTTTTGTCATGCAGACATCAATCTACTTTTTCATTTAACTCATTCACCCTTGAAGACACTTTTGAACTCTTCCAATTCAAAGGTTGGAATAGTTCATTATTAAATTTCAGGGGTTAATGACTTAAGGTAAAGGATACCACTGCACCTGTTATAAAGTTCTGATCTGAGCTTTTTTATAAATGTTAATTTTTCTCCTTCCTAACATGATGAAAGCAGCAAAAGTGAAGTTTTAAATGAAAGTAGAATGCACAGCTCCACCCCCGCCCCCTACCTCTGCAAGGGGCATAACTCTTCGTGCCACACAACCTTTTACAACCAGGCAAAAAAAGGTGATGGTATAGTGGTCGTTATTATGTATAGCATCCCATAGTCAAGGAAGCCAGCATACTACTGGCCGGGTATACCAAAACATAATAGAATGAGTTAACCAACCATTCTGTTAAAGCTAGTAATGACACGAGTCTATCTCCAAATTGAAGATCATTGATCTAATTCTCATATTCTGCTCCTCAAGATTTTTCAAACTTTTATCTTACTAATGAACACAATGAAATCCCTGTACAAGGTGATGAAGCCTCCCTCGCAATCGATTTCTTTATTTAATATAATTCTTTTTTTTTAGTATTATGCTCTGCTTGCTTACACACAGATCAACATATATTTCCTAGCAAGGGAGGATCCCTAGGTTTTTCCTGGAATGTAAAATTGTTTTTTTAGAACCGTTTCCATTCAGTATTGCCCCGCCTCCGTGTCACATACGCTCAGGAAGTTTTCCCCGCCGACATCCATATTGTCTAGATTCATGGAGCTTTTCTTGCGATTGATGTATTCTTCCATATCCTTTATCAAACGCTGTGGGTTTTTCTTAGCTTTCGACTCCAGTGCTGATAAAATGAAAAAAATAATATTATTGAATCAAAGCATATACTCTTATAGTACTGAATCAAAGCATATACTCTAATAGAAATCATTTAACCAACATATTGGTTATTCATGTTTATGAATTATGATGAACAATTTCAAACTGAAATCATTATTCAATAATTTCAATTTATTCTTCAATAAATTTTATTTATTCACAATAGCTACAGGATCATATCTGAGTTTAAATTTCATGTGAGATTGATGAAAAGAACCTAGAATTGTTTATTTTAGCAAGGCTCTATCGAGAAGAAAACTCTAAAAGGGGAATACTGTCAAATCATGAATTTTCGTGGGACATTATATTTCGTTTATTTCGAGGATAACAAAAATCCACGAAATCCCCACAAAAACATAAATTTGGTATGATATAGATAGGGGAAAATCAGAAATCAGTGCAATATAATGTCCATGAAACAGGCTAGTATATGAAAACCACGAAATTTTATCCCCACGAAATTAAATGATTCTACAGTAATGAGTTTGTTATCAACCCACTTTTGATAACATATCCAGAATCGGTGATTGTCTTTCCCTGAGATTTCCATGTCTGGTACAGCTCCAGATATAGAGCAGTGTAGAGGTCATTGACCACTCCTAACACCTCTTGCCTTTTATTGCATTCCCTGGAAAAAAACCAAATCATTTTTAATCAAATAATGTGTTTTTTTCAGTTCTCAAAGCTTCACCAACTATTTTAATAGCCGTATGATACATTAAGGTAACAAATATAAATGAAGAAATTCATTAGAATTGTTAGAATTGTTAAAATCAACTCAATTTAACATTTGTGGAAACTTTATAGCACTTTATCCCAGGTAGCTACTAGGTGCATATCATGACCCTTGATGATCCAGTCCTAAAAAGCCGTTCAAAGAACAATATTACTGCAGAGCGTAACAATATACACCCCATCCCATGTCATTGTGACATACTTAAAATCCTTTTGATGCATTATTATATCTAAATGTATGGAAATATGGAAATCTAAAAAGGAGAAACAACATTTGTTCTGTAATACTCATTAGAGTTGAGAGCTGTTTCTGGAATGTGGCGAAAGAAGAAAACATACTGTACAGCTGTACCAATTTAAGCTGAAGGAATATATATTTCCTATATTCTTTATGACTTTAAAAAAAATGATTTTCACAGGAATTATCTCCCTTTGTATATATTTCAGACCATGAAAATAGAAATAGAAATTGCCCCCTTTTGCCAATATTCAATTCATTTTTCATCATTTTGACCCAAAAATGTTTCCATGTTCATTAATTACTGGCACATTTCACTATTAGACAAAGTGTAAATATTGACCAAGTCTCATCAGAATTCTGTAATATTTGAATAAGTTAGTGTGTGTAAATCGTCGACAAATCAGATATCAGTATGCTTATAAATTATGTTCAGGTTTTGCTTACCTTTAAGTTTAGCCTTTGTCATTGTATGATATGAATACTGTACTGACTAAGTTTCATCAGAATATGGTCATATTGTATTTGTCAAAGTTTTGTGCAGAAACCGCCGTCATTCAATCAGAGCACCATATGCTAATTAATTATGCACAAATTTCGATCACATTCAAACTGAGCCTAATTGTTTGTATAATGTACATGCATACCAAGTTTCATCAAAATCTGACAATATTTAAGCAAGTGTTCTTGCAGAAACTCAAGTTTGGAAATTGACCAATCAGAGCACAGTTTGCTATTTGATTATGCACAGAATTTGCTCAAGTTCGAACTTAGCCTTAGTCTTTGTTTAGTGTACATGCATACCAACTTTCATCAAGACGAAACAAAGTTTGGAGGGACGGACGCTCTCAATACCATAACATGTCACGTCAAATTTTTGACAGGCATATAAAAAGTTGATGGACAGATGATAAGCTCACAGGCACATGTATTAGGCCAGCCTTGAAATTCCTGTCTATCCACAGGGGCACGTTACAAATGTCTGAAATACACACATATGCTATACTGATATGGGTCACAACACACATAAATGTTTATGTGTGTTGTGACCCATATCAGTATAGCATATGTGTGTATTTCAGACATTTGTAACGTGCCCCTGTGGTCTATCCAAGATGGCAGATATTGCAAATCAATTATCTTTTTGGAAAAAAATGTTATTTGTAAAAGTTACATAAATTTTTACAGTGAATGATTTTGAATGTTTTTAGCAATATGCAAATGTGGCTTGGACGGTTTAAACGACTTCCAAAGTAAGCCAGCCTATAAAATAAGCTGTGCATGTCTTTAAGTATTAATGGCTTTGAAAATAAGAAGGCCTTGATTATAGGCCAGTTTTGATATGTACATTGAATTCAAAAATTTCACATTTATTATGGCAAAAACTAACTGTTAGAAAACTTTATTCTAGAGCCTAAATATATACACGTAGGGCATACATACTTGTTGAGACAGTCTTCCCGGAGTGCCTGTAGAACTATCCTCGACATGTTGATCCCCATCACACAGAACGGGAAATTCTAAAAAAAAAAAAAACCACAGACAAAATTATGTACCTAGTTTTTTAAACAAAGAGTAGTCAATATTATTACATGGATAATACAACATCTGAAATAAAATAAAAAAAATAATAGGGTGTTTCCTTAACCTCATATGAAATGAAAACGATTTTTTTCCCTGATTGGTATGCATTATCATATAACCATGATTAATTGAAGGAGAAAATTCACAATAAATCATGTTTTAATGATTAAACAACATAATAAGTCAACACATCTTTAACAAACAAACAATAACACAAGGATTAAAGAACAAAACCCAGGACCCTCCAAACTCTAGATGGAAACTTTAGATGGATGCTCTACCAATTGAGCTACTTGGTTGGCATCTAATGACCCAGTCCAGTTCCTCTAAATTTCTCCCTCTTTTTTTCTAAGTCTTTGCCCCCAAAGACAACCCTATTTACAACCCAGGTTCGAGTATCACCTTGTCAAGCATTCAACCACTACGTGAAACAAGTGTTGGTCACAGGCCCCACGTTTGGCACCAAAGGTAACAGGAGCTGAAAAATAAAACGGCCAGACCAGGGTTTGAACCCGGGACCCTCCAAACTCAAGATGATAGCTCTATCAATTGAGCTTCCTGGTCACCAACAATCGACCCAGTCCGGTTGTGCTACAGTAAACCCACTGATCATGTCACCAATCCTGTGTGCTGATCATGTCACCAATCATGTGTGCTGATCATGTCACCAATCCTGTGTGCTGATCATGTCACCAATCCTATGTGCTGATCATGTCATCAATCTTGTGTGCTGATCATGTCACCAATCCTGTGTGATGATCATGTCATCAATCCTGTGTGCTGATCATGTCAACAATCCTGTGTGCTGATCATGTCAACAATCCTGTGTGCTGACCATGTCAACAATCCTGTGTGCTGATCATGTCATCAATCTTGTGTGCTGATCATGTCACCAATCCTGTGTGATGATCATGTCATCAATCCTGTGTGCTGATCATGTCACCAATCCTGTGTGCTGATCATGTCACCAATCATGTGTGCTGATCATGTCAACAATCCTGTGTGCTGACGATGTCAACAATCCTGTGTGCTGATCATGTCTACAATCCTGTGTGCTGACCATGTCAACAATCCTGTGTGCTGATCATGTCATCAATCATGTGTGCTGATCATGCATAAAGCCAGCAATGATCCGATCTGATTTTGACGTTACAATTCAGATGTCATTTTACTTTCCTCCAGTCAAGGGGACTAGATGCAAAGTTGGTCAATGAATGTCATGGCACAGAATATTACATTTTTTGAGATTATTTATGCATTTTATCTAACAGGTTTCAAGGAAATACAAATATAGCATCAACTGTCAACCAGAATATGTTGGTCATACTGTCATCTTGGGTCAAAGTGGAAACAATTCTTCTGACATAATGGTGATAATAAAGACACAACACAATAGACTGTACATGCAACTTCCACTGTGAAGGAACCAAAACCAACGTTTTGTTAATAAGTAGTTTTTACACTGGAGGACAAATAACTCACTGTGTGGAAATCTTCTACAATCTACAGTAATAGTAATACTAAAAGTATCAGATCATATCTACAAGTAAATTAAACAACGTATTCCTCTTACTTGAGTAGGATGAAGAGCAAGTTTATAGATGTCTCGAGCAAAAGACTGTCGTTTCGGGTTCCTTAGTAAATGCACAAGGTTCAGTAATCCAAGCACGCCTGTTCCACGAAGGTCAGTTGATGGGTCGTTACCTAAAACATAAATACAGTCACAGATATAGAGGAGGTTCAGTAACCCAACTGCACATTACACGTAACCAAGTACTTCCTTAGTAGTAGGATAATAAACTTTAATTATCAAAATACCAGATGACATGCCTGGTGGCCATCTTGTTTTCTTATAAGTCTTGATCTGCTGATACCATGATGGCTACCTGGTGGCACTCTTCTCCCCCCCCCCCCCCCCCCCCCCTCAATCAATCTGGAAATGAAACATGCATAAGAAAGGACCAAGGGGAACCTACATATAAAATTTGAGAAAGATCTGTAATGTACATGTATTTCTTCAGAAAGTGTGATAACAAGTTTGAAGTGTCCAAATACCAAATAGCTACCGGCAGCCATCTTATTTTTTCCAATCAAGCTTAAAACATATAACTACAGTCTAACGGGAATCTTCCTATGGGAAAGACTCTCAATGTTCTGTCAGTGATACAAATACTGAAGTGACTTTGAATAAGAACTTGTACCTAGGATGATACTAAAAACTGAAATTACTTACCTTGAAATCCTATTTCTTCCCAGTGTGGCCCAAACCTGCCACAATCGAAGCGTGAGCCGGTAAGACATCTATAGATCGTTTGAAGGGCCCGAGTGTGGACGATGGTATTGTTATTCAGTGGGGCTACAATGTATTCATGACCATGAGTGAACAAAATAATCAGTACATTCCGTTTTATGTCAACCGTCAGAAGAAAACCTTATATCATGATAAAGACACATGATAATTTTCCGACACCTTTTTAGTTTTTTAGAAAGAAAATACTGATATGTATTCAACTGATCTCTATTTTTCAAAATCTAACTTGCATCATTATCGGTTCAATTCGCATTTATGTGTCCTGTGAGTTCCTACCGGTGAATTGCATCATGCGACCTTGACTCTTTGTAGTACACAAAACCGGCGACCTTCGGGACTTTCCCCATGTCGTTTTGGCCCATTCAAATTGCCAAGATTGAATGTTTCAGCATAATTTTACCCAAGAACAGCATTCTTGGTCCCAAAGTACCAATAACGATGCAATTTGTGAGGATATTTTCCCAATCATTGCATTAATCAATTCACAACGTAACATCGAAAAGACCAGAAAGTTAGGACTACTGTACAAGTTTATCTTTAACTTACAATTTTTTGTAACAGTAGAAAAGACAATGCAATCGGGAGCTATTACACAAAACTTGAGCAGTTTATTGCTGCGAGCATATTTCAACATATTTCTGAAAGTCCCCAAACAATTAATTTATGATAATCGGACTCAGGACTGGTTTTGGACTGTTCTTGTGTATAGTACACACCCCTTTCTTGATATTATCATTTTCCACTAAAAACAATGCGCACTATACAAGAATATTTAGTAATTGTAAAATGTTTAGACAGCAAAATGATGAAAAATAAAATAATATAACAATTAAGAACAACAATAAGAATTAAACATAATGCAACAACTGCTCTTTGACATTTGACTCCTACAACCACAATTAACAAACAAATGTAGCAATGCTTTACCCTACACTTCTAAAACAACAAAATGTGACACTGCCCTTTGACCTTTTACTTCAAGAATAACCTTGACAAATCATCAAAGGTGGCACTGTCCTTTAACCCTTGACCCCTAGATTTTGAGGAAACAATAACCTCCACCTTTGTATAAATGTTTCCTGTACCACATGTGGCACTCAGCAGGATGTGTTCTATCAAATGTAAGAAAGTATGATGGTCAACAAAAGGAAACAGAGTCTTTAATCATCACAGTAGATGCTGAAATCGTATTAGGTTATAATGACTGCAGTAAACATTTGAAACTTGAACTCTCACTGGAAGAAAATACTGCTAATTAATTTATTGGAAAATATCGCTTAATGTAAAGGTTCTATTAAAAGGAATATGATATTAGAAATTATCACATAATGTTCTGTGTTATCCAGTGAATATACCCATGTCATATTTTTTTGCATATTAACCTATGTAATATGACCTATAAGCCCTGTGATTAGTTGTAAGTTTCAATTGTTTCAATTATGACATCACGCCTAGGACAAGTACATGACGTCATAGACTTACGCACTGAAGTCAAAATGGCGGCTTTTAACATTTCAAGGTTACATTGAAATTGTCGTTTTACACGAATAAATGCCCCAAATCTTGATTATGTGATAAAAAGAATCTTAAACTTGTTTTCATTTCATATGAAATTCGTCACGAATTTTTCAATTTAGCTCGGCAGAGGCTCGCTAAATTGAAAAATTCTAATACTTAACTTGTGTCATAAATCTCATATGAAATGGAAACTCATGTAAGATCCTATATATGTGACTTAAAAAAGAAATATCAACAAACATAACATTACCCCTAGGTAACAGAAATATCAAATTTAAAGTTAATTTATAACATTATAAATGTTCTATTAAAGTAACATTATATTAAAAGGTACGTATTACATTAACAGGAATATCATACTTACAGTTAACTAACATTACCCTTTAAGTGGAAAACTTCATACTTACTTGCAGCTACACAGAAGACGAATTCCTTTTCCTTAAGAAGATTTCTATTTAGTTTTGGCGGTCCAAATAAAATGTGTTTCAGAGCTGAAAACCCACGTCTGTTGACAGTTTGGCGGATGTTTTGCTGAAAAATACGACAAAATGAAAATAAAGAAATATTTGACCCATAGAATTGTTCTTACAGTAAATTGGCTCATGTTAATAATGAGGCCAGGAACAGCTGGGAGTAGAAAAGGAAAGAAATGTCCAAGGACCAGAGATACTCATCTCGTCATATGGACAGTGATTTAGCAACAGGTCTTTCTTAGGTTTTAAATAGATCTTTGTCAAGTGGGACTTATACTAAGGTCTTCTTTATACAGAATTTAAGATTACACACTATATATTTTACACACAGACAATTTACATAGACCTGTTTTATTTTACACCAATTACAACATGTATTGGATTGGTGATAGTTAATACTGAAAACAAAAATTACATGTCTTGCCATTGAAAATGATCAAATTTTGAAATGATCGATAAAAAATAATAATTTCTGCATACATTTTAAAGACATGGATTTAAAATATGGCTTAAATTAACAAAGCTAAGTCAGTTCTTTGACAAACTACCCTGCTAGTGACTACTTACCATTGCACTAGAGTAGTCCATGGGTCGAAGTGTCTCCTCTAGTTCCGTGTAAGACATGAGGGGGGTCATCTTAACTCCTCCTGGTCCTGTAAGTTTATAACATTTAAGGGTTTACGACAATTTTCTTCTGCCTCTCTTTGTATGGAAGATAAGCATGTCCAATATGGAATACATGTACCCCACATGGGTGCGCTCAGTGACCTGTACTATTATATGTTTTCACTAAAATAAGGCCGCAGTTTTTGTTATGAGGTCACAATTGAAAACACTTCAAAATGTCGTTTGACTGACTGTGGCAATCTTGCTGTTGGCACCCGACACAACCTCCAGAAAATAGGGTTTGTTGTACAAGCTTACACTGAAGGTCTTACTTAGACCTTTAAAATTTGAGTTATATCTACGGTCTACCATCATTTTCTTCTATTTTCAAGTAAGGGTGAAACAGTATATCCACAGTACACATGTAGCTCAAGTGTGATATTTTGACTTCGGTTCGGTTTAGCCACTATTGAAAACATCAGTTTCTTAATGCAAATAGTGGCTAGATAATAATAATAGTTCGAGATTCTTATACACCGCTTTATCACAACCTAGTTCGTAGGTCGTCTCAAAGTGGTTCACAAATTATTATCCGTGGTTATAGGGCCTTTGCAACCAGCCAACATATTTCTCAACTTCCTGGGGAGCATACAGCCGGTGCTACCATTTTGGCACTCACGGCTAGCATTCAACAATTCTAGCACTACCCAACCACGTACTCATTTACAGATGAATAGACTGGAACAAGTGGAGTAAAGTATCTTGCTCAAAGATACAACACAGTGTCGTGCCGTGACTCAAACCCACAACCCTTCGGTCACGAGCCCGGCGTCCTACCACTTGACTACCGTGCCTCCTATATATAGTCACAAAGTAAAATACAAGGTTTAGTACTAATATTTTTTAATGATGATTTCCTAATTACATCTCCATCACTTTTTCATTAAGCGTCTGTATCACTCCGATTAATTAAGCACATCAGAATATTTTGAGCAGGAGTTTGAGAACATTGTGGGTATACAATTCCAGTTGCTCAGCATCCGGGGCTGCACTAGCACGGTTAATGTCAGGTCTGGTGGAATTTTTCAATATTTACTATGAACACTATATATAAATATAATATTATATTAACACTCCAATGGATGCTTATCAAACCATTTTTTTCTGGTCTTGACAAATAATATTCAAATGAAATTCAAAGTGATATGTGTGTGCATGTTCTCACTTTTAAAAGCATAATCACATTTTTTATTGGGTTAAACTTTAAAATATCAAAATGTGCATGAAAATCAAAAGAAAGAAAAAAAACATACCTTTAGTGAGGTTTGGATCTGTGAAACCTGGAAAATGAAAGTATTCATCAAATCGTTTGAAAATAATCAATGAAGACTAAAGGCTCTATACTGTAAAAATCATTTTTTGGATGACAATATTAAGAAATGAAAAACCTCAAGGAACAATATCACTTCATACCTGGTAATTTATTAAATATCAGAAATTGTTTACTCTAGACTTCTCCATGGAAACACCAGTGTCCAGATGTTACCTTATCTGACCACTGGTCACCAACACCTGTATACCTACACCGAGGTATAATCTTTGCCAGTGGAAAAAATAGACTAATACTAGGTTCCCACTGTCGTGCGATCTGTTGAGAACGCCACAATTGGCCATTCGTAGCTGATCATGGAATCTCTCTGAAATTTCAGGTTTGGATACGATGTGATGCGAGTCGATATGTTCCGATACGATTTGTTGCACTTGGATGCTATCTGATCACGATTTTGTCAATTTCAGGTGTCACGATCTGTCACGGTCTGATCTCCCATTCAGATCTGATCACATACATTTCGATAGGATTGTTTCAATAACATCCACGATTGGGTCTTGATCTTTTTTATTGATGTTTTGAAATGAGCATCTATGGAGTAAAGGGTTATATATGTGACATGTCAAATAAATATAAATAAATAAATATTCATGCAGACAAATAGGTTAATGACTTTCGTTTAATCTAATTTTTTATTTTCTATTTCTTTAATTTTTTGTTATAATAACATATTGTTCTATTGAGAGGAAGTGAACAAAGGCTCTAAAAATTACTAGCAAAGGCAGGTTACAAAGATGAATAAGACGCATTAAAGCTTGCCCAGTATATATACGGGCACGAGAACTTGTAACAGATCGTGAGCATCCATGTAAAAACATATCTACTCCCATTTACTCGTATCTGCTTGTGAGTCATTTGTGTCAGGTCTTGAGCAAAGGGCCCTGACAGAGGGTAACAGATCGTGGGAGATCGCAACACATCTCAAAAAATCCTGATTGACAATTGATCGTGTTGATTGTAGAAAAAATTTGAATCGTTTCTACGATTAAGACGATTGCTACGACTGACCTCGAGATCTGATAAGATCTGATAGGATCACTACAATTAGTCCACGATTTCAATCGTGCTGCGAATCGTCGAAATCTAAACAAAAACCCTTTGGGCTTCCTTCACTCGCATATCATTTAATGATGTTGGCAAATAAATCTCACATCTTTTACATTCAAAGTGGGTCAACGTAAAATTTATTTAAACAAACTTTAAACTAAGCAAGTTACCCTTAACAGGCTGAATACCCTACATCTTATGTTGATTTTATTGGAAGGTGTGAACTTTTACAATACTAAAGCAACCTTCAAAATGAATTAAAGTGAATTTGAACAAACATGGCAGCCCTAGCATGGTAGCCCCTAGCATGGTAGCCCTAGCATGGTAGCCCAAATTAAACATGGTAGCCCTAGCATGGTAGCCCTAGCATGGTAATGGTAGCCCTAGCATGGTAGCCCAAACATGGAAGCCCTAGCATGGTAGCCCTAGCATGGTAGCCTTAGCATGGTAGCCCTAGCATGGTAGCCCAAACATGGTAGCCATAGCCTGGTAGCCCTAGCATGGTAATGGTAGCCCTAGCATGGTAGCCTTAGCATGGTAGCCCTAGCATGGTAGCCCTAGCATGCTAGACGTCAATTACCATCACCAACGGCATCCTGTGGGTTAACCTACCCCACCCCTACATGCCAAATGTCATGACTTTAGGTCACTATATATCCCTGTGGCATTGAATGTGGGTCAAGGTCATCCACTTGAATACATTTGACAGCCTTCCACCCAAGACTGCTACATGCTAAATATCATAACCCAGGCCTCTTGGTTATTGAGAAGTAGCTGATGGAAAGTTTTAACACATTTGACACTTGTGACCTCTAAATTCAGTCAATGCCATTCACCTGAAGCCCTTTTCCCAAACTGTGTAGCACTCCATGCCTGAAAGCTACAGGCCAAACATCATTACTGTAGACCTCTCCATTCTTAAGAAGAAGTTGCTTGAGCATTTAACCAATTATACGTTGAATGTTAGCAATGGTACTCTACAAACTTTGTTACTAAAGGCAAAATATCATGACTTGAGGTCTTTTTGTTTAGGGGATAGTGCGTTGTTTTGAGTGGCTATACTGGCGATTAGAACATGAAATTTGGGATTGAACTCGAGACCGATAGGTCGAGAGTTTAAACCAAATTTCATGTTCAAATGCCAGTATAGACACGAAAAACAACGTACTATCCCCATTCTAACCCACCTTAACAAATATACTACGCTAATATGTTTAGAAACTTGTATTTCCTTGTCAAAAGTACGTAGTAAAGTACTTTGTGACCTGAACTGACGACGTGTCATTCTGCAGCGGACTGACCAATCGGAAAGAAGCTTTCAAAAGTTGGTCATTTGGCCCCGCCCATACTGTATGTTCTTGAACGTCCTGTTACCAAAGTTTATACAACAAATTTGGATTAATATTGACCAAGTTCTTACATTTCCATGTCAGTATGCATACCAATCTGTGCTTATCGACAACTTCGGTGATTATTTGTATAGAATTGTGAAGAGTTTTGTGCAAATGCATACGACACATGTGAAATGTTTCATTTGATTTCGGATCTAAATAGATGCCTTCACACCGATGGAATGAATGTTTCAGTAATAAATGGAGGTAAGAACAAGGAATGTGTACTTTTTGCTTTTTACTTTTTAATTCATTCAACAAATGCATTTCATCGGTCGTTTCTGTTCTGTTGCCTACTATCCTTATCGGCTGGATTTCGCTAAGAGGCGAGCTTGACGCCATATTGTTTTGGTTAGAAACGGGGTGTGGCTGAAGTGCGATGGGATGAGCTTAACACGATTGATCATCATTCGATCGCAGATTAGAACATGGTCCGTATCCAATCAAAACATGCGTTGCAAACGAATCGTGTTAGAATCTTCAGTAAAATATGTTTGAGTGCTTTATGATGCAAATATTGCATGATGTGTTACAAAACACCTTCTAGTGATCCCATTCATTTTTTTCTTTTCAAATGTTTTAGAACCTGTATAAAGAGTGCTACATAAAATCAAAACCATTGAGCTGCTGACGTATTAAAAGAGACAATTATAGGTGTCCAAAGGAGGTCAGCTACTTTTTACTTCACAAATATGTCCAGAGGTTAATGAGAAGAAAAATTTGTTTAAAGAAAAAAACTTTACAGACCGTGAGACATACAGATAGCAAGGGATCATGAAACCTCACTACTAGCTATGCTACCTAAACAATTTGACTCCATACAGATACCTAATGCTGCAATATGACATAAGCTGACTTATCCTTCTCGCAGATAGTTAAAAATATCAATAATTTTGCAGCAATTTATTACCAGTATTTAAATATCTTGTAAGTAATATTAGGCCTATAAATACATCAAAATAAAACCTATGAGCATCTTTGTGGAAGTGTCAAAAAGATAAACAACCATGCATTAAATTTTAATACTATGCTTAAATTATAACAGTGTGTGGAAAATGTTAAAATGAAAAGATTTCTACTAAATACAAAATGTACTAATAACAAGAGATCATAGAGGGATCTTGGCACCCACCATTGTACTATCTTCATTAGTTCTTTGTCAGTTTGATCTTTTCTCTTCTTTCCTCTAATTTGTTTGATCGAGTCATGTTAACAGTTAATGCACCTTGAGGTAACTTTTGATCTAAACTTAATACTGATGTGTAAGAAAGCCAACCTTCAAAGTGAGTTTGTCATTTCACATATTTACTAGTACAGTACTTAATGTGAAAGAAATAGAATCGATCATTGCAATATGAGAAAGATCTGTTTAGTTCTTCCTTTAGCCATTTTGTTTTTATGATCAGTCTCAAAATACAAAATGCACAACTAGGGATCAAGGGGAACCTACATATCAAATTTGAGAAATATCCCTCATGCCTAAATAATTTTGGGAAGAAATATTTCCACAGCATTTAACACAATGCTTCAGCACATTTAAATATAACATATAACATGACAATGTTTGTAATATGTAAAACAGAATAAAAGATTACATCTTTAATTCTTCAACCCTAGTTAAAACCTGACATGATCCACTCAATTCAGGTCTTCCAAAAAAGAAATACACTAAATTTGCACCTCGGCAGTATTGATATAGAAATTCTAAATTACGGACAGTTCGATTCAAATCGAAGTAATGACAACTGAAAAATGTACTGCCCCCCCAGTTAATGTGGAAAGGACTATAATTTCTTTTATTCATTAATTTTTCGACAGTCGCCCAAACTATTTTTGTTGGACCAGTGACTACCTCAATTTTGACAACTTTTGGTCTCTCGAGCAAGACTTTAACTGCCATTGGCGAGCAGGCGACCGTCCATTTCAGGCACTGCTGCACAACAAGGGAACAAGGGGAACCTACATCTAAAATTTGAGAAAGATCCCTCTGGTACTTCTCGAGAAATAGCGAAAACAATCTTTCACTATCAAATTCCAAGATGGCTGCCTGTCAGCCATGTTGTTTATCCAATCAGTCTCAAAAGTTGCACTGCACAGCTAAGGACCAAGGGGAACCTACATATAAAATTTGAGGAAGATCTCTCTGGTAATTTTTGAGAAATACCGATAACAAACTTTCACTATCAAAATCCAAGATGGCTGCCTGTCGGCCATGTTGTTTATCCGATCAGTCTCAAAAGTTGCCCTGCACAGCTAAGGACCAAGGGGAACCTACATATAAAATTTGAGAAAGATCCCTCTGTTACTTCTTGAGAAATACTGATAAGAAGAATTGTTTAAGGACAGTTGACGGCGGACGACGGACCACGGACGCATGGTGATTTGAATTACCCACCATCAGATGATGGTGGGCTAAAAATACTGTATTAGAGATCTAAAATGCAGTGATTTGGAGAGTGAATGCAGGTATACGTACTACATTGTATTTGAAATACATTTGTATCTAAAATTCTTTAAAATCTGCTGAATTGCTATTTAGCTTTATTTGTAATATATATAAACCAATGACGTCATACAATTCATCATTCCTTTTTATACAATTTACCTGCTTCAATGGTTTGAACATTGTCCCATTCATTCTGAGCATGTGAATGAGCGAAGTGACCCATTTGCTGTGAAGGATCTGCTTCATTATGCTGTAAAACAAATCAATTTGTTAGGTTTTCTTTGAAAGTGCAAAATTGGATTTTATCAACTTAGCAAAACTGATATATGTCACACTGTGACGCTGTGACAGACATCAACAGCCGATATATGTCACAATATAAGTATTGACCATACAGAACAGTACTTTCTATTCCCTAAATTTATAGCTGACTTCCAAATGTGCTATGTGGCTTCCTATATCTGTATTGTTGACTTACTCATTTTTGAGTTCCTTTTATGTTAATACTAAAATCATATGAAAATTAATAAAAAAGGATGTATATGATGACCCATGGAATAAGAAGAAAATTCAGAAAAAATATACTGCAGTGGGAGTGAAAGCCCTTCCTTACCACTGTAAAAATATTTCTATAAACTATAAAGTTGATAAATTACTAACTTTCTCCTCCTGGATGTCGTCTCTAGGTTCCACAGAAACATGTTCCTCCAATGGAGGCTTGGCTATCATTGTTATATTTGATGTGAGCGAAGCCTGTTTAAAACTGACCGGGTAGCTGCCCGAAGTGAAGTGCTCCTTATTGCCATCATCCACCTTGGTCTTGACCTCTGACCCCTGACCTGGATCTGATGGAGTGTCATGGACTACTGGGGCAGTTGTGGTGGATGTAAAGGGTGGAGTTAGTATCGTGGAGGGAGGAAGGGCCGTTGCCACAGTAGGAGGAGGGGGGGCCTGAGCTTTGGACATTTTATTGGGTGATGGAGGTTTATCTTTTGTATCAGATGATGATGCTTTGGCTGAAGGCGGTAAATCAAAGTCAAATTCTGATCCAGAGGAATCATCTTCATCTCTTTGCTGTTTCATTAAATCTACCAAAGAAATAGATTCTGCCTCGTCTACCTGTTTAAGACACAAACATTAAACATGTGATAATAATATTAAATTGATATTTAATTTCATATAAAAGTTCAAATAAAAACACCACTGACAGCAAAATATTTTTCATAAGATTCGGGCATCACAAATAATTATACAGTTACATGCCCTTGAATGTACAACAGACTTATTTACCTTACTTCTAGCAACTTTATTTTTCATTAACAAATTTCATTTTTCACCTGTATTCTTTAGTTGATTTTAGAAATTTGCAACAGTGGCAAAGATTTTCTACAAACAGACCAAGGAGACATTGACCTTGACAGCCTGAAACACAAAATTACAAATGGAGTGCTTTACTATCTGCGACACCATCCTTGTTGTGAGGGGAAAACCCTATTCATTAAATTTGGTAGCTTATACCACTTGTTAAGCTATTAACAAGTGTGCTACATTTGTACGTATACATGTACAATGTAGCACACACCATGAGTACAGTTCACATCTATGCACATTGTTAACTATTAATAATTACTTATTATGTATGTGGATTGACTTACTGGCTTTTCATCAATTTCAATACTGTCAACTGAAAGCATTTCATTTTCTCGTATCGCATCCAGGTTATCTAGTTTTAACTTAGGAACATGTATTTCTTCAGTTGAAAGAGGTTCACACATTACATCTTCAGATACTGCAGTGACTGCTTCAGTGTCAGGAACAACATCCGGTCTGGACACCATATTTGTGATATCCTTATCTTGAGGTATTATGTCCAAATTTGAAAAGTCTTGCACAGGTGGCATTTCTTCAGTGTCAATTTTAATGATATCTAGGTCAGAGGTCAACTGCAGTTCAATACCCTCCTCATTAGCCACGTTTTCACTCATGGAGTAGTTCCCCTGAGATTCATCTAAACCTCCAGTATCAGACACACCGTCTGCTTGAATTTCTGCCATAGAACTTAATAGTTTATTTTCTCCCTCGGACAACATAGGTATGTCTTGTGCATCAACCACTCCTGATTCGTCATGTTGTGACTCCATATCAAAATCAGCAGAGTTGTCAATTTTTAGTTCAAATTCAAACTGTTCATCACCATGGTCTTGTACCACAAGCCCTTCCAATACAGAACCGCCAATGGCATCTGGACTCTGCTATAAAAAAGATGAAACAAATCATGATAATGTAGAATAAGACATCATACAATTTTATATAAAAAGAAATAAGAAGCAATTTCTGCAATATCAAAGATTTCAGTCTAGGACACATCTTGATAAATTATCTTGGACTGAACCCATTTTTAAATGTTATATGAAGATGATACCCATATATGGATACACATTTTGTGTGCAATACATATACAAAGCCGTGATTGTTTTGAGTATGGCGCCCCCATCAGCAACAGTATAAAATAAACATTCAGGAAATTATAGCATATGTGCATCAAGTACAGAACACTTGAAATTCAGTCCCAAGGGATGTAGTGCAGCACTGATCACAGTGTCTTTCGATACTACCTGGGTAAACACATGTACAGCCTATGGGAGGTAGGCTGTACAAAATGAAATGACAACTTAAGTCTCAAATAAAAAATAGAAACCAGCACATTTCTTATTTCTCACTGAGAAATATCGGTTATATTATGTTATGAAAAATGTTAATTTTTGCATTATACAGTGTTTATTTGTTTATTCCAGGATTTTTTTGTCACTTCTTTTGGGGATTTTTAGAGCTGAAAAAAATTGTGTATTTAGTTTCGTTGGATGTCTAACAATTCACCCTCTTTTGTTTCATAACTCCCTGACCCTCCAACCATTTCACTCCAAAAATTCACGATGCCACTTGCCCCCATCCCTTTTGTTGAACGATCACCCCTCATACATATATTGCCCCTATTCCTATAACATAAGAGGCAGATGGTCGACCTTTTTTCTATCTGATATGATTTTGCCGTCTGCGACACGGGGCCTGTCAAAAATATCTGTAAAACCTCTAACATTGTTGGAGTAATATTGCCCCAAACATTCAGGGTCAGGTTTAATTAGGTTAAGGTTAAGGGTTTTAGCGTCATGTTAGGTTATTGTTATGGATACTGAATTTGCGGTGAACTAGTTTTGTTCGATATAGTTTTTGGGGCAAAATAAAGAAAAGTCCTGATGAATTTCGCCCGACTCTCAGGTGAATCATCTAAAATAGTAATAATATTTATTCAGGTAAAAGGCAAATAATACACTTCTATCACTTTTTGCATATTGGACATAATTTAAATATATATATATTATCACAGAAAGATTTCTTCTTAAATAAGTTATTTATGCCATAAGATTAGAAGTCAGTCAGTTGTTAAAACTGGATTGGATTAGATTAATTTAGGCCTTTACCCTGGATTCATGACAATGATAATAATAGTTTGAAGATTGTTTACCTATTTATATAGTAATATATACACTCCGACTGAGCTGTATTTGGAAAAAGTTCCGAGTCGGTGTTAATCTGATACAGGGTACATAGAAAATCTTTTATGAAGGACCGTTGGCATATAAATAGATGGTCGAAATGTGTATAACTTGCAGAACTTGTCCCTAATTATAATGTCATGTATATTTGGTCGTATTTTTAAATTGAAAACTCGGGTCTGTTTGTATTCCCCCCCGAAACCGATAAATTAAAAGACATACACGTTTCAAAGTAATACAACATGTATCTATATGCATATATGTATGTCTTATAAATCCATTGAGAAAATATATTATAAAACATCAAAACTTGTCGTGTGTTGGCTATTTTCATGTTTTTTCAAGACGCATAACTTACAAAGGCAGCCATTTTCAAACAAATCCCTGTCAGTCAGCGTCTTTTTGATGCTTTAGAAGATTTTGGATAAATTGCATTCTGATCCAAACGTTTAAAGGAATCGGATTTTATGAAAATCCAACATGGCACTGCATGCATGGGGACGTCTCTTGTCAGCTGCAAAAAGAATCTGCCACCAAGCTGTATATGCAGAATCTCATATCTCTGCGCTGCGGACAACTAGCTACACATGTAAGCTACACATCTCTGCTTTGTTCTTCACATAAAGCACGTGGATTCATGATAGATTATTTGGCAGTCTCAATATATATATAGAAAGGTCACGAAACGTCGAAAGCCGCCTACTGCGCGCGGTCCACTGTCCCACTATAATTAAGACTAAAATATATATTTGGGGTTTAACTAAATGACTTTCTTTTGGTTTTAAATTCACAAAAGTTCCAAGAAGATGACTTGTATTACGTAGGGAATACAAGTGTCCAATCTAAAGTGTTTGTAACAGGAAAGAGAATAGTGTGCTTCCACCGGGGATCGAACCCTCGATCTCTAGGTTCCTAGTCGGACGCTCTACCACTGAGCTAAAGGGAAATTCCCTCTGGCTCGAAGCTAGAAGGCGACCTTAATCATATGTACAATTGAACCCTGCCACATGTTCAATGACTTGAAACCACTGATTAAAGGGGTGCATTAAGGCTCAATACTCATTCCGATGATTCTTAATGTTCTACATCTACATCGTATGTCGCCGTATTCACACTTGACTATTACGCGACGGGTGTTGCAAGGTGCACACAAGCTATTGAAAGGATAGACAGTAGGAAGAGGTTGGATAGTTTAAAGGTATAGAAAGTAGAAATAAAGTGTCCAGCTACGCTTTCGCCTCTTCAACCCAGCCACTGTAACCGAAGAGGACTGGGTTGAAGAGGTGAAATGGGACCACCTGTTGTTGGACCCCTATGAACTAGAATAAGAGTGTTGATAGCCCCTGCTTGAAGGATATACCAAGTCGGAGCCTTTGCTACGCTGGCAGGTAGGCTGTTCCATACTGAAACTGTTCGTGGAAAGAATGGGTTTCTGTAGTATGATATGTGGATGAAGAGGGCTGGCAGATTTTCCTGGAGTGGGAGGATCTTGTATGTCCCTGGGCTGGGGTGAGGTACTGGCTGATTGGTATGTCCAAAAGGTTGTTGGAGATCTTGAACATTATTGTCAGCTGGGCTTTGGTCCGACAAGATTCTAGTGTTTCCCATTCCTGTTGGTCTAGTATGGAGGAGACACTGCTGGTGTTGTGATATCTGTTGGTGATATATCTGGCAGCTCTCCTCTGAACCATCTCCAGCTTGTGTGTCTGGTCCTTGGTGTACGGGTTCCAGACTGTGTAACAGTATACCCCGGGTTTAGTCACACACATGTTTTATAGGCCGTACCCTTTACCTCTTCATTGCTGATACATAGGTTACGTTGAAGGAAACAGAGCGTGCTGTTACCCTGCTTCTTTACAGTCTTGTCAATATGGTTGTTCCACGATAGGTTCTGAGATATGTGCACTCCGAGGTACTTCGTTACTGAATCTGTATCGGGTGTGTGGCCCTTCCAAGTACTCGTATGTTATTGGGGTTAATTCTCTTGCGTTGGACACGAAGGATACTGCACTTCTCTGGATGAAAGCTCATACCCCAGCATTTGTCCCAATCCTCAAGCTTGTTTAGGTCATCCTGGAGGGTTGGATAGTCCTTTTTAGAGTTGATTTCCCCGTATACCACACAGTCGTCTGCAATTAGTCTTGATTTAGATGACACTTGTAGTAGTAGGTTGTTGATGAAGATAAGGAAAAGAATAGGTCCAAGGACGCTTCCCTGGGGAACGCTGCTTATAACGGCTGCCGGCTCGGATGTTGCCCCATTAACTACTACGCGCTGTGTTTGACCTGTCAGGAAGGCTTCAATCCAGTTCAGGGTATCGATACCGTAGTGGAGAAGCTTTGTGAGCAGGTGACTGTGCAGTACACAGTCATATGCTTTACTGAAGTCTAGGACTGCAAGTTGGTGCTGACGCCTTCGGTCTAGTGATCTGACAAGCTCGTGGTCAGTGTAAGTAACTGAGATTTGCAGCTTCGTCGGTTTCTGGACCCGTGCTGGCAGTCGGTTTCTGGACCCGTGCTGGCAGTCGGTGAGGATAGTGTGTCATGTTGGCTGTTTTCACGACATCCGGAATACTACCACTGGATAGGCATTTCCTGTAGATGATGCACAGATAAGGTGCGCACTGCTCAGCCATCTCTCTAAGGATACCTGCAGGGATCATATCTGGTCCAGTTGCCTTCAGGGGATGAAGTTTCTTTAGCAAAGTAAGAATTCCTTCAGTGGTGATATCGGTATCTGGAATGGAAGGGGATGGTTCGCCCTCAGGTGTTGGGATGCTGGATTTGTCTTCTTTTGTGAAAACCGATTGATATTGTCTGTTGAGGATGGTTGCTTTGTTGATAGCTTCATTATGTAGCTTACCTTTGTCCTTCAAAGGAGCCACCCCACAGTTATCCTTTCTCAATGACCTGATGTAGCTCCAAACACGTTTTTGTTTTGGTGGTTGTTAGTCGTAGTCCAGATTGCCTTCTTCAATTTTCGATGAATTGCCAATACGATTGTCATTCTTTTTCTGCTTTTCGCTTCATTTATGTGACAAAGAAACAGCAAAGAGTTTGACTTGATGAGAGGTAATGTTTACACAATGCAATGTGTTTTACTGGGTCAGAGATAATGTTTACACAATGCAATGTATTTGACTGGGTCAGAGATAATGTTTACACAATACAATGTGTTTAACTGGGTCAGAGGTAATGTTTACACAATGCAATGTGTTTTACTGGGTCAGAGGTAATGTTTACACAATACAATGTATTTGACTGGGTCAGAGATAATGTTTACACAATGCAATGTGTTTGACTGCGTCAGAGATAATGTTTACATAATACAATGTATTTGACTGGGTCAGAGGTAATGTTTACACAATACAATGTATTTGACTGGGTCAGAGATAATGTTTACACAATGCAATGTGTTTGACTTGGTCAGAGATGATGTTTACACAATGCAATGTGTTTGACTGGGTCAGAGATAATGTTTACACAAAGCAATGTATTTGACTGGGTCAGAGATAATGTTTACACAATACAATGTGTTTGACTGGGTCAAAGGTAATGTTTACACATTGCAATGTGTTTGACTGGGTCAGAGGTAATGTTTACACAATACAATGTATTTAACTTGGTCAGAGATAATGTTTACACAATGCAATGTGTTTGACTGGGTCAGAGGTAATGTTAACACAATACAATGTGTTTGACTGGGTCAGAGGTAATGTTTACACAATGCAATGTGTTTGACTGGGTCAGAGGTAATGTTTACACAATGCAATGTGTTTGACTGGGTCATAGGTAATGTTTACACAATACAATGTATTTAACTTGGTCAGAGATAATGTTTACACAATGCAATGAGTTTGACTGGGTCAGAGGTAATGTTTACACAATGCAATGCGTTTGACTGGGTCAGAGGTAATGTTTACACAATACAATGTATTTGACTGGGTCGGAGATAATGTTTACACAAAGCAATGTGTTTGACTGGGTCAGAGGTAATGTTTTAACAATACAATGTGTTTGACTTGGTCAGAGATAATGTTTACACATGCTACAGTTCTGTATTTGCTCAAGTTTTACAACTTATGGCAATTACAGATAAAAGGACAAAGACACTCGCAAGGTCACACTCACACTAACTTGCACACATCATCATCGTCGTCGTCGTCAACATCATCATCATCATCAACATCATCATCATTTTTTTTTTTTATAGGTTTTCTTCTCAGTTAATAAAGACGATATATTTACAAAAATGATTTAAGACGTATGCCAAAATTAGATATGAAATACAGTCATTTTGAAGGGGCGTATTGGGGCACTTGAAAAAATAAAATTTGATATCTTTTTGTTTCATTACTTTAAGATGTTTCATGCCCTGAGTGTGGTATCAACAGAAAGGTAAAACCTTTTGCTAAAAATCAGACATGCCAGATTAATCCTGTTTAAAAGAAAAATTAACAAATGTTAGTGACACAATACCTTTAACCAAAATATAGGGGAAATTACATGGACATTTAACCAAAATATAAGGGAAATTACATGGACAAATCATAGGTATAAATTTAAGATTATAAGAGTACATTTCATGAATGTATGTGAGAAATATTTATGAGACTTTTAAACTCACGACTAATTTTGTAAAGAAATGTAAAAAATATATCGCAAAATGTATGATTTAGAGTAAGAGGATTTCTTGTAGACAAGTACAACTTACTTTTTCCAGTATGCATTACTAGAAAATTGTTGAATTCCTTGTCGTAGGTTACCAGCCAATCATCTTGCGGAAGTATTGTGATTCTGTTGATGGGTCTGAGACAGCACCAGAGTCAAATGCTGAGGAGTTGGGGGTGACACAGAAGGTAGCAGATGAGCGAGGACAGGGCCCAGTCCTCCCTTACAACCTCTCCAATCGACGCTTTAATCGTCGCAAAGCAATATTTTCTTCCAATAATGTTGAGAAATTACTTAAACAAATGGAAGAACAACAATCCTTTGAATACAATAGTGTGAGTACAACTTGTTTTATTTTCTCCTCTTGCTCCAGGATGTGCATTTTTTTTACAACTGTTATCCCAATCAGACACCAAAATAATGATTTGCAAAAAAGGTGATAACTTTGATCCAAGTGTTGTTAATTTGTTTTAAAACTTTCAGTTTAAACAAGACACCACCTAAACATTCAACAAGATTTACCAGTTTGGAAAAATGTAATATCAAAGTTTTACTTTATACACAAACAATGAACATATTAAATGAACGTATTAATACACACATACAATATGTATATGTGTGTAAGTAAAACTTTGATATAACCAGTGTTCTTTAAATATGTACTTTGTTTGTGTATAAATTTATTAAAGTAAAAGATTGATATTACCCTAGCTAGGTCAATGCTAAAGTCAAGTTCTATATTTTCATACTTTCCTGTCAGCAAAACTATTGCCCAACTTTTGTGTGAATTTTCTGTTTTCAGAGAGTGACTGTTGATAAAATATTTTCCAACACCTTTGAAAGGGTCATTATATAATAACCTTATTATTTTAATGGTGATTTAGAATTTAAAGTTATATTTGGATGTAAATTTATTCAATTTTATTAATATATAAAAGTATATGAAAAAATAAAAATTTAAAGAAAATCACGAAGGCTTCATTTCAACAGCATTAATTGAAAGATATAAATGGTTGTCTGAGAGTTGGCCGAATGTTTGGGAAAAAGTCTAGCAAGAAAACAACCCTCTCAAAGGACAGTTTGTATTGTCACGTTTGCTGGGAGTTGTGACACTGGTCATCCAATTTTCATGAATATTTTTCTTATTTTATTTTCAGCCTGTGAAGATAAAAGCTGACCCCTATAAACCAGAAAATCGAAAGTGTTTACTTTGTAAAACGAGCGTCCCAGTTGACTACAAGGTAAGAAGTTTAGCCAGACAAACGAAATCATATATTTCTGTATACATTGTTTCTCTTCCCCGTATCCAATGGTGTTCAGAATTTTTTTCCAAATTTAAGGAATGCTATGTGTTTTTTAAATTCTTCTTTCTATTTAGATTATTAGGTCACCTGAGACAAAGTGTCACTTGACCTATTAATCACCTTGTTGGTCATCGTTTGGTGTCTATATCCGTAATTAAGTAATATTTTCTCTTAAACTAGTGATCCAATTTCAATTAAGTTGTGCAGGAAGGTTCCATGGCCAAAGTTGAACCAAAAACAAACTCAGTTTAATATGTATGTGATTTTATGAAAAAAAAAAAGTCCATGGTGTCAGTTTCAAGAATAGCTGAGACAAACTTAATAATGGACTTTCTCTCAAAGGTCACTGATAACAATCAGTTTTGTAATAACAAAATTACAAATTTTCAAATTAATTATGGAATTATAATGATGTCAAGGTTTGGCCTATAAACACTGCAGCATCCCACCAGCCAAATGGAAAAGCTCAATACAAAGATTGTACTACTAATTCTCTTACAGCTTTTAGGGTTCGTAGCACTTAAGGAGATGTAGTGTAGACAACTAAACCAAAATTGTAAATTTAATAGATCACAACCCCCCCCCCCCCCCCCCCCCAGAATCCTGATTACAATGAGTTCCTAAAGTGTCCTATTAATTATTGTGAATATCACTAACTCTGGGTCCCCATTCCCCGGGGCACCTCCACCACCACCTAGTGGGAAGTAATTTAAATTTGATTGGAATTATCATCATGTGTAGTGTCAGTGATTGCAGTTTATTAGTATGAACATTAACTAACCCTAGGGCTTCATATATTGTACAGGAAATGCCTTTAAAAGGAACTTATTAATTTGGGAATATCATCACCCCTGCATCTCCCATTTCCATCTGTGCAGGGGTTAAGTTGTAAATTTAAATACCCAGTGGATATATAGATATAAAGAAATAACAGTTTTGGCTATATTATGCTTATTTTCAGTGATTTCAAACTTGATTGTTATAATTATAATTATGTCAAGGTTGGGCATATACAGATTTCAATATGTCTTGTAGGAAACATATCACTGAGACCGATTTTCTATGGTGTATAAATTCAATGACCATCTCCTGACCGTTAAAATACAATGATATATTTTGTTCACAGAATGTTCGCCTGTTGAGTCAGTTTGTGTCGCCCTACACTGGACGTATCTTCGGGAGGCACCAGACAGGCTTGTGTGTTTACATGCAAGGCAAAGTATCTACTGCCGTCATCCGAGCACAACATGCTGGTGAGTGCCCCCCCGGTCATGGTCAATTATTGAATTGCCCTTCCTTTCATTTATTTTCCAACCATATTGCTTTATTTGAGACTCAAGGTATTTAAAAATACTGATTTATTCCTAAACAAAAAAGTTGGATCTAAATGGCCATTTCCTGGTCAGAACAAATAAACACAATTTTTGTTTTAAGAAATACTTGTATTTTGTAGATTATTTGACTTTGAACATAAATTAAAACGTGTCTGGATACCTAACATTGGAAAACAGCAAGCTGTTATGTATTTATATAGCAGAAACCTGGAAAGGGATGGCCTATAGAAATATGACATAAAGATGGAAAGGAGGCCCTTACAGAGTAGAGACACTTACTGGCAAATATGTACCAAGGTTATGCAAAATTTTGTCTTTAATTTTTTTAATACATTTTTTCAACTACCGGTGTCATGTGAGATTTGTATCCCCCATGGGATAAGTACCCGGATACCAAAACTGGCCATAGGATAAGTATCCGGTTACAATATTTGGCCATAGGATAAGTATCCGGATACAATAAATGGCCATAGGAAAAGTATCCCCCCCATAGGAATTGTACCCCCCCTCAATTTTATTATGATATCAATGGGAAAATTGGAGAAAAAAGTTAATTTGATCATTTGCCTCAGAAACTTAAATTTTTGTAAACATGCAATGAATCAATATCTTATTTAATAATTGATTGATCTTATTCTATACAATACAAAATGATGGATTTATAAAACTGTTGAAATTATTTGAACTGTCGATTAAACCTGGCAAGGTCACTGAAGCAGTAATTATTGACAGTATTAAGGTCTATCCTCTGATTACCTGGGGCAGGGGAAAACTGTTAGCTGGGTGGAGAATCTGCCCTGGTAATGGCAGGGAGTTGTTTTGATCATTAGCACCTATTACCTGTACACACAGGTAGATATAGGGATGGGGAAAAGGTATAGGTCATTAGGGTAATTCTTACAAAGAAGCTGGAAGAAGCAACATGTTTTTTTCCAAATGTTAAAAGTACTCTTTTTATTCTATATACATGTGTATGTACGGCTAATTAATTATAAGATATTGTATATATATATAGATCTCGCTCAATTTATTATCCAATTATCAAAAAAAAAAATTCACTTGTATATTTCTCATTTAGAAAACAGATAGGTAATAGTAACATATATATCATTAGGAATTTTTTTTATTCAAATTCATATCTGTTTCAAATCAAATTATTAACATTGATTCCTTCAATCATGATATTTGTCAAATAATGAATAAAGAATATGTACAAGTATATTTGAATAGCAGTAGACGATTGCCTTTGAAAATATCAGTCAAAGACACAATTGTTTCAAGAAAAATTGCGTAGATACCATTAGTGTTATAGTCCCATTCAATTAATTATATTATGCAATTATTCATACTGGAGTCCTCGAAATATGCAATTAAATG